TTTCCTGTCCTGAAAGACGACATACAGCCCCAAAACATTACGCTCCGACCTCCAGATTTTATAGCAGTACCATTTGCTTTCCCAATTCTTCGACGAGCATAAACGAATATAGGGTTTCCAAAAATCTGATAAGAATAAAACTTTTAGGGATAATTTCTATTTAATGAAAATACAGTATTAATAGGTGTAATAAAATTAATTATACTCAGTAAATTATTTTCAACTAATAAAGTTAATTTCATTAGACCAGACAACTTTAACCGAATACCTAGCCGTCCAATATTCATGCTCTTTCTCATTTTAAATTCAGACAACAACAGTTTTCCTAAATATGCGTGTGTTCTCCTGTATATATATATATGTATATGTGTGTATATATATATATATATATATATATATATATGTGTGTGTGTGTGTGTGTGTGTGTGTGTGTGTGTGTGTGTGAGTATATGAAGAAATATAGTCTTAAGGTGTGCTATATTTATGGAATAAAGTGCTCGATATCAGAGATAGAGCGTATTGTAAATATAAAAGTGAACATAGAAGTCAACACTTAGAGGCGACAGTCTGTTTCATGCTATATGCAATCGTCAGGCCTGACGATTGCATATAAGACTCTAAGTGTTGACTTCTATGTTCACTTTTATGTGTATATATATATATATATATATATATATATATATGTGTGTGTGTGTGTGTGTGTGTGTGTATATATATATATATATATATATATATATATATATATATACTCACAAATACATTTATATGTTCATTTATCTCTCACTATTCATAGTTTTTCGGGTTGAATTATACAAGTGTATTTCACTTCAACGTAACTTTTCATAAATTACAATTCGGTTCATAAATTATAATTTCGTTTTGTTTTTCTGCAAAGGTACAAAAGACTATAGCAATATATATATACATATATATATATATATATATATTGGGCTGCATGTCAGAAGTCTACATGCATCCCCAAAACATCACACTCTCCATTCCAAAGTTTACAGTTGTGGCAATACATTGAGTATCATTTGCTTCCCCAACTCTTCCATGAACATAAACAACTCCAGTTTGTTTCCAAAAATCTGATAAGAATAAAACTTTTTAGGGATAATTTTCTATTTAATGAAAATACAGAATTAATATGTGTAATAAAATAAATTATGCTTAGTGGTTTAGTTTCAACTAATAAAGGAACTTGCTTTAAAGTTGCTTTCATTAAACCAGACAACTTTGGTCGAATCCTCAGCCGTCCAATTTTCAAACTCTTTTGCAAGAGAAAGTCTCTTTCTCTTATTAACCTCAGACAACAATGTTTTTATTTTAGCTTTACAACATTTGAGGCCAGCTTTTACTAAACTTCTTCTCACTGTGCGAGTCGATATCACTTTGTTTGTTGCCTCTCGAAATTCAGCAGTCACGTTATAAGAGTTTTTTTTTCATACCACCTAGAGATACTCACTTTATCAGTCTGTCTTCCCTTGAGTTTATAGACTTTTTCCAGCTTCACCATCATGATTTTTGAAAGAATTGGTTTCATTATATGTTTTAATGGTTGTTTGTACAATATTTTTGGAGCATTTCACTTTTCTTGCAATGTTAACCCTTCACTGGACAATGCAATGATTTCAGACATTCTAGTTTCAGGAAAGTTTTTCTTCGGAGACATTTTCAACAAAGAAGAAGCACTTACAAATTGATACTAAATTTGTTACGAAAAAATTAGAAAAAATCTACCACTAGAGATTAAATTTTACAGTTTGGGCAATATACTGAGTATCATATGCTTCTACAAGTCTTCGACGAATATAATCAACATCAAGGTTTCCAAAGTTTTGATAAGAATAAAACTTTTAAAGATAATTTTCTATTCAACAAAAATACAGTATTAATAGGCGTAATAAAATCAAATATGGTCAATAAATTAGTTTAAACCAATAGAGGAACTTACTTCAAAATTGCTTTCATCAGACCAGACAATTTTGGCCCAATTCTCAGCCGTTCAATTTTCATGCTCTTTTTTTTATTTTTAACCTAAAGGAAGCAATTGTTTTTCTAGCTTTACATCGTTTGAGGCCGAATTTTAAACTTCTTCTCACAGTGCGAGTCGGTATAACTTAGTTTTTTTTGTTGTTTTGTTTTTTGTTTGTTTTTTGTTTGTTTTTTGGGGTTTTTTTTTGCCGCTCGAAATTCAATAGTCACGTTAGAAAAGCTTTTCCTATCAGCATTTTTTAGCATTCTGTCTTCGCTTGATTTTGTACACATTTTTCGTGTTTGAACATCACGATTTCTGAAAGAATTGGTTTTCTTATAACTGTTAATTGCTGTTTCTACACCATTTCCTGACCGGATGCATCTAGATATTTCAACTGCAAGATGATGAGAGCTTTCCTCCAAACTAGTCGTACACTTAAATTCATTAGCTCTACAGCAATTACCATGAAAATATCTATAGAATAAAAGCAACGGGAAATTCTGTTAACTCGGTGAGAAAATGACTGAAGCCGTGCTGCTGTACCAGGAAGAATATTATTCCATATGCTTCTTTGTATTTTATCAAGAATTTCTAAATGCATAGCAGGAGCATATGCGAAAAAAAAATATCAAAGTGAGAACAATGAAAGAACGGGAAATAAGAAGACAGAAGATAACGATTGCCATTGCATTTAAATTTTTTTAAAACAAAGTTAACCCGAAATTAAGAAAGAGGAAGAATACTCTTTTTGGAATCCTGACAACGAAATAAGTTTGAAAGTTAAAAGAATCAGTAAAACATATGACGTCGTCTGAAATAAAGCGATCCTACGCCGACGCCGAAAGAAAAAAATAAAAGAATAGCGACGAAATGATTGCATGATAAAGATGACCAAAATAACATGAACAACGTTTGAGGCCGATCCTGAAAATAACAAGCCATACTCTCATTGAACAACAAAACACGAGACCAAGATTTCTCTAAATCTTTTAAAAACACTCTACAAATTACACTTTCTGGATCGACAGCAGCTGACTCGAAACGTTTTTTTTTATTCTTCTCCAGAATATGAAATATCCATTTGCTCTCTGTGAAAATATGGAATTTGCAGAAAGCCCAGTTTTAACTTTAAGGGTGTGAAAGTTATGTGGGATGTGATATTTGGACAAAAGACCCTATACGAACGTGAAGTATAGGTTGTCATACTTTGAATGGCAGAATAATATCTGGACAATGTATGGAATCCTTTCATCTCTATATATAAAGTTTTTGCCTATGTCTGTTTGTTATCGAACTCCCCTTAGTGCTTTGCAAATAGACCTCACAACCATATATATACTGCAACTACATCACTGAGTGTACTTGGATAAGTATATTCCTTTTTGATCAAAGGGGGTCACGGGGGCCACCCACTGATTTTTTTTACCTTTGATTTAAATTAAATTTAAATTTGAACAAGGGAATGACTCCTATCCAAAATATAGAAGGAGAAAACCAGAAGATGGAGGTCATATCGCTAAGATTATTAAGTAATATTGAAATGCATCATTTGTCTCCAGAAATTATAACAATGATTTAACAGATAATGAGGGACACGGAGCAAGGTGCGGATAATTCGGATAGAATATATATATATATATATATATATATATATATATATACACATATATATATATATATATAAATTAAATAATTAAGAATGAGACAACCTTAAGGTTCCATGACTATAATGTATTTACCCAGAAAATATATTTTTCCTGTTTTCCTGGTTCATCAGGTCACATCTCTAGTTATAAAGTTATTTTTAATACTATTTAGTTTTAATACAAGTTTTTGAGGGATAGTTTTAGATTGATATAAGGTGACAGAGGGGGCGGGAGGAGGAGGAGCATAGAATTAACTAAATTAAAAATGGAATATAGAGATAGGGTTGGTGTTTAAACCATCTTTATTAAGTTATGTAGGTTCAAGTGTACTCAGTCAAAGGCCAGACTATTTGACCTCTTAAATAAGTTTTTAGACATGAATAGGAAAGACGAAAAAGAAAAGAAATTGTAAAGCAGGGGAGGGGTAAAAAAAAAGAGTGAAACATGGGAGGAGGAGAAAAAAAAAGAAAGAGTGAATTATCATATAGTGATTTTCTAAGCGTAGCTTAGTTGCGGCGCAAGGCCGAAAGTATGGCGTAGTCTGTGAGGATCGAACTCACTAATGAGTCGTAATCGATCTAGCAAGAAAAGCTTGCTAACCAGTACAGCACATTGAAGCGACGAGAGTGAGTTATCATATATAAGCATATCGCGGTGACACTTGAAAAACGCACATCAATATAATTAGTAGCTAATAGTGATTTTCTAAGCGCGACTTAGATGTGGCACAAGGCCGAAAGTATGGGGCACCCAGTGAGGATCGAACTCACAAGTCAGTCGTGATTGATCTAGCAATACAACCTTTCTAACCATTACACCACATCGAGGTGCGCTAAATTAGTAGTTAATACATAAACTATTAAAGCTTAGCAGCAAAGTAAGAATAAAATAAAATATGTTAATAATATTATTAATAATCCTGATTAATACAATTTGTAATGAACGCAGGACAATATATTAAAGAATATTAACAATATAAAAAATTTACAATTTTAAAAAAGAAGAGTATAAAAATTAATATTACGGATTACCAAACCATTCATTATCTTAACTAAAAGATTCATTATCTTACTATATATATATATATATATATATATATATATATATATATATATATATATATATATATATATATATGAACAGAAGTAAAGAAAAGAAAAGAAAAAGATATATATATATTTATATATATATATATATATACATAAATGAGAAAAAATTTAATCACCACTTACAATCGCCTGAAGAGTCTCAACGTAGTGCCAAAACACGAAAGCTATTGTGTAGCGATTTCAACATATTTTTGTTATAACATCTTATAATATATATATATATATATATATATATATATATATATATGAATCTCTAGCCATTACAATAGAGAGATAGATTGGATTATCGAAGGAGAAAGTCTGATCGAGATGAAATGTTTCAATTCGAAAAAAAAACATTATAAAATCTGAAGTTGTTGCAGGCTAAAAAACAAAATGCATAATAATACTGCCTTCTTCATATTTCCTACTGATATTTGCTCACCTTTTTTTATTGATTGCATCAATTTCGTTTTCATAATTATCCCTCACATATATATATATATATATATATATATATATATATGTGTGTGTGTGTGTGTGTGTGTGTGTGTATGTATGTATGTATGTGTGTGTGTGTTTGTGTGTATAGTTAGATATTCATAATTTGGAGTACAGATTGTCTTCCATTTTTATCATCGGAGTCGTCCCGATTCCTTACTGAAATTTTTTAAAGCCTGCTAGTCATTTTGGCAGTCTTGTTTTATCCGGAGTTATAAAATATTTTTTTATTTATTTTCCAACTAAGATTGCCTATCATTTTAAGCAATATGACTATGGATTTGAAACCCCGAAAATTCAGAAAATGGCAACCGTTATGCGCAGAACGTAACGGATTTCATCCTAACTGCGCAGAATGATGTGACGATCATTCTTTAAATAAACATTTAGATTCCAAACTGATTTTATTTTAATATACTGATTGACTAAACAGAAGACGCGATTTACATATACATACATATATATATATATATATATATATATATATATATATATATATATATATATATATATATATACTGTAATATGGATAGCCTTATTTTCAGCTACAATTTTATTTCATTCATTTCTTTTTTAAAGTGTTTTGTTGATTGAATATTTTAAAAAATAAACGCATCAATAAACTGTTGTCTCGTTCTCCAATTGAGAGCTGCGGTTTGTTTTTTTTCATTTTTGTCTGAAATACTTTCTGTTTCTTTCTTAGCCAATAGTTTTTCTATTCCGTCTGATGTCTCGTCTCTTTATTTGAAATGACCTTTCCAAAAGAAAACAAAACACGGCAAAAAAAAAGCCTTTTTCACTGTTTTTTTTTTTTGCTTTTTTTTTTCACAAAAAAATTAAAGTTACATTTACATCAGGCTGCGATGTAGACTTTTTTTTTGTCTTTTCCGAAGCAAATTTTTAAATCGTTATTTTTCTTTCTTTTACAATTGATTATCCCTTTTTTCGGTTTTACCAATCCAGTTTTCGAAGAACCAAATCGCCTTATAGTCACTCATGGCTCTTCCTCTTCTTTCATTCTTTTTTAATCTCTTTCATTTTCGTTTCATCATCTATTTTTTTTTTTTTTCCTTCGTGTTTTTTTTTTCATTCCCACTCAATGCAGTTTATTCTTTCCTTTTTCCTTATTTTCTACTTCTCTTTTTTTTTCTTTCTGTCTCGATTTTTAAGATGTTTCCTCCATTACAAGGACCGAAAGCCAACCAATATTGAAGATATTTTTAACTACTATTCACACAATAAAAGGCCCAAGAGTCAATCAAGGTAGAGGGTTACAAGATGAGGATGTTGTTATGGAGTACACATTAGGCGCATATTAAGAGCATAGTAGGATAGATAACGTTTCATCTTCGACTGGAAGAGGGAAGTATGTTCAACAATTTAACATTTCTAGTAAAGAAACTTCCTCATCACAGATGAAATCAGAAAAGGATGCTGATGTCTGAACCAACTGAATGTGGGTCCTAGATGAACAATGGAATATCGATCTCCCGAACATCTGCCATGAAAATAAGGATATATGCTAGAGAGGCTAGCAACTTTTCGTATGTGGAGAAACGGGTGGTAGGGTTTTTAAACAGTTACAGCCGGAATGGTAATGATGAAGGAGATTCTGTGCTATGCAAGGAAGAGAAGCTGGTTGTAACTGAAGATTTTAGAAAATAAAGAGGATAACTAACAGTTTATCTTTGACATGTATAGGTCAAGATTAATGATTTCGTTGAAGCACTCACGCGAGTCTGAATCACAAATTGATAGTTGATATGGAAACGCTAGCAGTAAAAGTGTGAACAGTTGGAATTCTTTTCTATTTTTCTGTCTTCTTCCGGTTTTCCTGCTACATTTGATTCTTTCGCTCTTCCTTAATTTTCTTTTCTTTTTTTTTTCTTAATTTCTTTGTTTCATTTCTTTTTTCTTTCTTTCTATTTTTATTCGTTACTTTTGCTCGCTGCTTTTCATTCTTTCTTTCTTGCTTAATATTTCTTAATCTTTCCTTTTATTTCTGTTTCTCTCCCTCTCTTATTTTTTTTCGCTAACTGAATGAAAATTAGCGAAAAGAATAAAAATAACTTACTTATTTTTTCTTCCTTATTCCATTTTTTTTTTTTTTTTTTGGCAATTTTATTTTCATTCTTTTTTTCACTGTTTTCCTTCTTTTTTTCTTGCTTATTTTTCTTCATTATTCATTTTCTTTCTTTTTTTCTTTCTTATTTTCCTTTTTTTCGCTGATATTCATTCTTTCTTACTTGCTTATTTTTCGTTTTTTCTCTTCCTTATTTTTATTCTTAATTTATTTCTATTCTTTCCTTCATGTTTATTTTTTTTAATTTTTTTCTTTTATTTCTTTTTTCTTTCTTTCTTGTTTTCATTCTCTCTCTTCTAATTTTACTCATGTTTACATTTATTCTTTATTATTTCTTTATTTTTCTTTCCTTTCTCTTTTTCTTCATACCATCTTTTTTCTTCCTTCCTTTTGTGTATTTTTTTTTTTATTTACTGGCTTAAAAACATTAAATGGTTGTGCAGACTGTTTGATAGACCGCGACACGGAATGAGAAGTCGTTGAGCCGAGTTCGAATTCAAATCGAATTCATTACATCCACTTGCACGGAAATGCCCTTGGGAAAGGTATGAAGCCACCACTTCTCCGCTGCTGTTCTTCAGACTTGGTTGACAGCCAGTCTAGTAGAAAGACAGCTCTGTTGGGGCCACCAACCTTCTCATCAGAATGGACTGATCTCTCTACTACTAATAGGACAGTTCTATAGAGTTCTGGGAAGATCAGGTGACCATCACACTTCCGTCTCTCTACCGGAAGATACAGTTGGACTTTATACTCTTTCTGATTGTTACTGACTAACCTGCGTTCGTTTGACTACTAATCTCTCTGTTGTAAATACCTCTTCAGATATACCAGTATTTTTCCCTACGTATGTGTTTGTCCTTATTTCAATACACGCATGCAGAAACACTCAACATCTCAACAAGCTCTGAATTCAAAGCCGTATATAGATCCATCTAAGTTGCTCCGATGCAGCTAAGGAAACAATCGCGGTTATTATACTGATTCTATGATCAGCACTACGGCCCGACACGTATTTTCTTTATACCGTCTTCTTTTCTTACCTTCTGTCTTTTTATTATTACATGGCATCAAAGGTGACCGTTAAGATCGATCTCATCTCACTTCCTATTAAGAGGAATTATAATTATCTGCAAATAGATGTATAAAGGGAGGAACTAATCTGTATTTAACCAAGCAAAAGCTATATTTAATATTCAAAATTAGCCTTACTTGTACAACTACTAATTCCTAATCAACAGGAATTCGGCGTTAAATAAATTTTGAAAAATACAAGCATACAATATAGAAAGAAATATTTGTGATAAAGCGTGGAAATGTTTACGACGGCCGTGAATTCAGGATACAAAAATAGGCAATTAAAATATGTTTTACAATATAACGATTTCATAATTATATGCGTCATATTGTCTTATTCTAAAATGTTTAATGTTTTGACCTCTGTTCTTTTCATATTAATATGATTTTCTTTTTCGCTCATAAATGATTAAATGAACGAATGGCGTAGCAGCATTTAGGAAAGATGACAAAAATGACTAAGAGCTAGATAAGAAGAAGAAGATGAAAAGAAGAAGAAGAAGAAGAGGAGGAGGAGAAGTAAGAGGAGGATGAAGAAGAAATGGCGGAGGAGAAGGAAGAAGAAGATGAGGATGAGGATGAAGAGGAAGGGTACGAGAAAAAGAAAAATAGACGAAGGAGGAGGAAGGAGAAGAAGATGAGAATAGGGGAAAAACAAGAGGAAGGGAGGAAGAAGAAGGGGGAAGAGAAGAAATAAGAAGAGGAGGAGAAGGAGAAAGAAGATGGAGAAGGAAGCAGAAGAAAAGAACGAAAAAGAGGAGGAGGAAGAGGAGAAAGAAGAAGAGGAGGATTAGGAGGATGAAGAAGGAGTGGAGGAGGAGGAGGAGGAAGTAGAAGAAAAAGAAGAGTAGGAGGTTGGAGGAGAAGAAGGAGGAGTAGGAATAATAATAATAATAATAATAATAATAATAAGAAGAAGAAGAAGAAGAAGAAGAAGAAGAAATGATAATAAACACAACATACAAAAACTGAATAATTCCTATCGGGTTGAGTCTGAACGATTACACTATTTTCAGTTAAATGCCATACATGATAAACGTCTAGGCGATCATGTCTCTTTCGATGCATGACTGACTAGGTAGTAGAGCTTCCCGCAGTAGGCTGCCGCTTCTTTCTCCTATGGATTGGAGGCCATCCAAGATTATATGACCAAGTCACTTCTACTATTCAACCCATAGAGATGGATTCATGCGAAGAGTATTTCCGCGACAGGAATTCGTTTATTCGATTTGTCATGACGGGCGTTAAATCAGTTTCATGTATATTTTAGAAGTACACCAACTTACTTAACCTAATTACACAGGAAAGTGATTCCTTCTTCATGTAAGCGTGTGGTAGAGTAGAACTCAGCGTGCTTCTTTCTCTTCCCTACTACGGTGACACTGGACTTATCCTACTTATAAATATGGCAAGTACCTACATTAGAGTAGGATTGGAGTAGTATTTAATTTACTCAAGTTCTTTTCCGTTCTGTGTATGAGTGTTTAATAAACCTCTTCTTCTTTGTTTCCTCTAATTAGTCTTCAGTTCCATTAATACATTCTCTCACTAACACGGGACTTATCCTACTTATAAATATGGCAAGTACCTACATTAGTGTAGGATTGGAGTAGTATTTGATTTACTAACTACTCCCTTTCTAAATCTCGGTTATGTCGAATAAAGACAACGTTTTAACAAATATAATGACAGTGTTCTA